ACCTCACATTTCGGTAGGTTAAGTTTGAATCCTGCAATTTTGCCGAAGCTTTCAAATTCCAGGAGCAAGCAGGGCAGTGTGATTCGTGGATTAGAGATGAAAAAGAGGAGATCGTCCGCGTAAGCAGCCACTTTATGTTCCGACTCTTTCCATGAGTAGCCATGGATGTCAGGGTTCTGTCGTATTGCCTGTAAGAGCGGTTCCAAAGACATTGCGAATAAAAGGGGGGATAAGGGGCACCCCGTCTGGTCCCGTTGTGAATCTCAAAGCTGGACGTTAGTGCTCAGTTTACTTTAACCGCTGCGCTGGGTTTATCGTATAAGGCAGATATCCACGACATCATCTTCGGTCCCATTCCCATGGCCCTCAACGTGTGCGTCATGTAAGACCAGTTGACCCGGTCGAAGGCCTTTTCAGCATCCGTGGATAGCAGTAAAAGGCGTTCCCGCGAGGTCCGTGCTCGATGTTGTATGGAGAAGAGTCGGAGTGTGCTGTCTCGGGCTTCCCTACCAGGTATAAAACCCGTCTGATCCGCATGGATTATGCTCGGTAGTACTCGTTGTATTCTGGTGGCCAGCACCTTCGTAAGAAGCTTTGAGTCCACGTTTATTAAGGAAATTGGCCGGTAACTGCCACAGTGTTCGGGATCTTTCCAGGGTTTGAGTAAGACTGCGATAGTAGCTGCCAGTGATTCTGTGCCAAAGCGTCCCCCCTCCGTGATGTTATTGAATGCCTTAGTTAGCCAGGGTAAGAGGATTGAGGAGAAATGTTTGTAATACCCCACTAAGTATCCATCCGGGCCCGGTGCCTTGCCCACCTTCGTGGCTTTCAGGGCCGCGGCCACTTCTTCGGCACTGATCTTTTCGTCCAACATAGCCGTCGCGTCTAGGGTTACTCGTCTGCGTACGTTATCGTGGAGGAAGGCCTGGATCAGCGCGGGTACGGCGTGTCCTTGCGAAGACTCAACCGGCGTGGGAAGGTTGTACAGGGTGTGATAGTATTGGCGAAATTCATTTGCGATGTCCTCAGGGAATGAGGTTGTGGATCCCGATGGGAGGCATATTTTGTGCACCCTCGTGCGAGGGGTATCGCCCTTCAGGAGGCGTGCCAGAAATTTGCCTCCCTTGTTGGCGTGAGTGTAAAAGAAATTTGCATGATTTAAAATTAGTTGGGTTTATTATTTGGTTCTTTGCATTTCGTAAGGTTCCCATTGGAGTTTGAGTTTTGGCTGTGGTCAAGGGGAACTTTAGCCTGTTGATAAGTAGGTTTGTTGGCCATTTGGCACTTTGCTTTCGTTAGTTCCTCCTGGACGTTCGAGCATTGCTACGCAAATTGTGAAGTATAGTCATTCCGCACTCTGTTTCATTACTGATCCCTCTTGAATTTTCTCAGTTCGAGAGGAACATTCGCTTGTTTCATGTTTATATTCTAAATATACTGATTTGGTACTTTAATGTTGAGTCTGGTTTCATTTGCATAGTTCAGTTTTTTTTTTTTTTCACTTGATTTTGGTATTTGTGTACTAATAATCTGATTATTCAATTCACTCTATCAGGAGGGATTATCTACTAAAATGGGTTTTCCTGGTTGGTGTAATATGTATTTTAATTATCTCATTGCCAACATGACTATTTGTTACGCCCGTTATTGTCCATTCCTGAATAATGAACTATATTCACTTCTCTACACAGACGTTAAGCATTAAGTTTCTACTTTTAAAGATGACTTTATCACACAAATCATTTTAATTTGCATATTCGCTTGGTAGACACTGTTGGTTTATTCGCTTGTGGGCAAATCTAGCTTGTCACTCATATTCTTCTCAGTATTCCTTTTCTACCAAGTGTTAATTGTTTTCTATGCTAGTGTTCATGTGGTGTTCATACTGGTCATATGTTCTTATTAATCTACATGTACGAGCATTTCTGGCCTGGTAATTTAATTATGGAGTTACCTCCCAGGCTGGTAGTTAACCGCAGCCAAATTGACGAATGGCTGGGTGGTTGCCGTTCGTATAGTCGAACACGTGGCAGCGGCCATCTTGTTTAGTTAAATGTGTTAAGCGATGTTTTGTCGTTGATTTCTTGGAACTCAAATCGAACACCGCTGGACTTTACCTTCTCTGGGACTTCAACTCTTCGGGAGACGAACGGTGTTCAACAATTCGAACGGCACTTCAACGTTGACTTTGTGCACGAATGGCCCCGTTCGTGCATTTGAAGTGTACTTAGTCATTGGAAATAGACTGGCCGCATAGCCAAATTCTCTGGAACTGTTTTGGGCATGAAATCATGCGTGCGGTTGGTCAAAAAAGACTTCCAGGAATTTCCTGAACCCCTGCTCTGATCTGGGTGATTTTTGGATATGTAGTTCACCCAGATCAGGGCTGTCAGGGGATGTTATGTTATGGGGTGTTTTCTGTACTTTTAGGAAAATGCGTGTTTTTCTGCCTGTGGATAATTAGGTTTTTGTAATACGGAGGTTAATCTGGATATTCTCACTCGTCACTTGCGTTCACACCCCTCACGTGGTGAAATTCTTGGTTTCAGGATTTTCTGAGGGCTTTCCCACAGGTCTCGCTGCACTACCCTATGCTGGAATGCCCCTGTTGTCAGCCTTCTCCAATCCCATGGCAGTAGATACCCTACTGAACAAGGAAGTCAGTTTAGGCGTTATGATTGGCCCCATCCTCCCATTCACCTTTTCTGTCATGGCGCACAAACCCCATTGGTGCTGTATCAAACAAATCTTCCAATAAAAAAATGGCTTATTATTAATCTTGCGGCTCCTCATTCTTCACATACACTGAGCAGAAATTCACTCATCCCTGCTGAAGAATTCTCCCTCCACTAAGCCACGGTGGATAACGTAGTTGGAAATCTGTTTCTGAGATGCTTGGCCTGCTGAGACGCCCTCCTTGATGGCCTTCAAGGAGACTTCCACCCTGTTCAAGGTTTACCCCATCGTGGCAGCTGCTCACACATGGGGTTATCTTTGGACAGGGAAGGCTGTTGGATGTCTCTGTGATAACGTGGCGACATGCAAAATCATCAGCAAAGGGCACTCCTCATCCTTGACCATTATGAAATTGGCCCAAAGATTGACTCTGCCTGCCACCTCGTTGCTGTTTTTCTTGTTTTGTGAGCATATCCCTGGTGTAGATAACAAAATGTCCGTGGCCCCATCATGCTCTCAATTTCAGATGTTCTTCCTGCTACACCCCACAGCAGACAAGCTCCTGTCCAGAACTCTGCTATTCTGGGAGCTTGACAGTAACCAGTCTACTGACTCACACCCAGTCATTATCACATTCCGCACTTTCCAACAGCACAAAGATGGCCTTTGATAGGGCTTTGACTGTGTATAAGAGGTTTGCCATGGAATTCCACATCCAGAAGAACTACTCTATTAAATCCATGGTAGCCTTTTCTTCTTTTTGCCACCTTCACCTTAAATTGGCACACAACACAATCAAACTTGGTAGTGAATTAGGGATAACCACACATGAGATGGATTTTGGAATTGTCATAGACAACAAATTAGGCAGCAATATGAAATGTCAATCTGCAGTTGCTAAGGCCAGTAAGGTTTTGTCATGTATAAATAGAGGCATAAATTCTCGCAATGAAAATATAATTTTGCCTCTTTATAAGTCGCTGGACCACACCTTGAATATGCTGTGCAATTTTGGGCACCTGTTCTAAAGAAGGATATCATGGCACTGGAGAGGGTCCAGAGACGAGCTACAAAATTGATAAAAGGAATGGAGCATTTTAGTTACGAAGAAAGGTTAAAATATTTAAATCTCTTTAGT